CCGGCGGTGGCCTGACCATGGGCTCCAACGTCAACAGGCTGGGCATCGACAAGACCAAGCCCCCGCAGACCTCCTGCGCACCCACCACCAGAACAGCAGAAGACCGTACAGTACACCGCACAACCGGCGGGGCGGGACGAGCGAGTTGCTCTCCATGTTGGAGCGGGGCGATGACGGCGCGGGGTGGCGGGGGCGCTCATCCCGGAGCGAAGCACCCGGCAGGGGTCGGGGGGTAAGGTCTACGGTGTTGCCGTATCGAGCAGGCTCGGGGCTCCGCTCGCTCCCCCCCTGCAGTGTCAGGAGGGGTGCCTGTAGAAGAAAAGTTTGTGCGATTTGTTTTCTTTGATTTCTGTATGGGATTTCCCTCGCGCGATTGGGGCGGTGCAAATGGTCCAGATGGAAAGATCTAACAGTGAAGAGTTTCATCGTCGAGTTCTGAGTGTGGCCCCAGTCATGGAGAAACATTTAGATTCATTAAAGACTGACTTCAGAACAGAAATTGATTCCAACAGGTGTCTTGAAAGTATAAACACATTTGACGAACTAATTGTTGTGCTTGTTAAGAGGAATTTCATCGATGACAGTGACAGGAAGACTTGGACGAAACTTAACCCAAAGTTCCAGAAATATGAACAGATTTTATTTTATGAGGACAATGGTACATCTAATATAAAAATAATTTTGACTCCTGCTGTAGATTTGTATTTTTTTAAATGCTGTTTTCATGTACTGTTTAGGTTTTTCTGTTCGTCCACAAAGTCACCTCAGAGCTCGCCTGACAGATGATGGTAAGTTTTTGGTACGTTTTATAGGACCCTTCTACAATCATCCGCAAGCCGTATTAAGCCGTAAGTGGTAAGCCAAGCTGTAAGAGCAGTTTTAGCAAGATTTGCCAATGCCAAGCTTAGATTACGACTTAAAGCTAGTCTTTAAATATTGACAATTGTCAGGGACCGAAAGTCAGTTAAGTAGTTTTCAGATTTTAGGAACTATGTATGTATGTTTTTTTCTGTCTATTTGCAGTTATTGATTATTTCTCATCAATACCCATCGGCCATTCCTGGAGAGATTTTGGCAGAAATTTGGGGCTTAAACAAAAACATATTGATGAAATTGAGAAGAAATATGATACTGACTACCGTTCATGTGTTGGAGAGGTGCTGATGTAAAAGTGTCAGAAATAAATATAGTTTGTATAGTCCAAATTGCAATTAAAATTACATAATTTTACTCCACTTGTAGGTTTTGCAAATTTATGAGCAGATGTCAAGATCAACTAATAATCCACTTGAGGATATCACGAAAGCCTTTGATTTGATAAATCGTGGCTACTTGAAACCAGGATTTTCGACATTAAGCGGCTTCAACCAACTTAACCCAAGATAGTTACCACAACCAAATTGTAAAGTATAAGGAGGCAAGGAAACCAAGCGTTCAATTATCAATTTTATAGTATGTAACTTTAACCAACGTTAAATGTTTATATGTATTTCCACCAGTTTTTTCCTTTACACTGATCATAGAAATATAACACATATACAGGTGATTTTGCATCTGCAATTTTTGGGGGACAAGGGCAATTAAAATTATGACAACCAAATATCTGCGTACTTCTTCCTCTCATTTGTACTACTGGACTAAGAGGCAAAAAAGTTCAATCAAGATATACGTCATGACATTTTATCATATTCTGACCAGTCTATCTTATGTTAATTACCTGACACTACATATTTGTAAAACGGTCTCAATGTGTAAATTCTTCTAAGATTTTTGCCTCTTTAATCAAATAAATTTTATGTTTACTCCGCTCACCTCCCGTCCCCGAGCCCGTGCCCGAGAGAAGCGAAATGACAACGCCGCACACCTTCCTTACCCCCCGACCCCTGCCGGGTGCTTCGCTCCCGACGCCGGTGACATGTTCGAAAAGTTTCGAATTCAGCACACAGCTAGCCCATTACTTCTAGGGAACACTGAGAAAAATATAATAGGGACAT